CGTTGGTTGATGTCACCTACATCTAGCAACGGCGCCACCAGATGTTGCTACATCATGATAAAGTGTTGCTATTTTAGTATTATAGTATAAACTCGAAAACTCCCCCCCCAATGATTATTCCTACTGTACTTGATGCCATTCATCCAATACTTCAACCCCCCCTGTCCCCCCTAGTCCTCAATTTTGGATGTGGCGGGCCTGCCATGACCCAGACACGCACAAATACGTGTGCGATTTGGCCGAGGCCGTCACGTCGCATCTTGGGGGCGCCAGCGCTGCGGACGAAGACTCTGACGAAGCACTGCATTGGTCGTCGATCATGCTCAAGGCTTCACCAACGTGGTCGGAAGCGTATGCGCTCGTGGTGGCCAAGTGCGGAGAGAACGGGTGCCTCGAGCACGACAAGCAGATCCTAGCAGATGTTGACCGAACGTTTGGCCGATCCTCGCTTCGAAAGCAAGCGCGCAAGGTGCCTGTACGAATGATAATGCAAAGTCTATGCTTGGAATAGCAGACGATCGATCGTGATCAAAAAGTTTCTTGACATGCGAATATGAACTAGCTTCATGTCAGTGTGACCGACGTCGACGAGAAGAAACTCGCGCTGGCCCGCGTCCTCCGCGCGTTCACCGCCACCCACACGACCATGGGGTATTGCCAAGGCATGGTACCGAGTTTACTGTCCCTTACCGTACACCTTTTTTTTCAACGAACTTGGTAGAATTTCTTGACGGCGTTCATGCTGTCCAACGTACAATGGAACGAAGCGCAGGCGTTCTGGTTGGTGACGGCCATCGCCGTGTCGCCGCAGTATCAACTCATGGAGCTGTATCGCCCGGGCGTGCCGCTGCTCAACCTCCGCGCTTCTACCAGGTACTTCGGCGACGACGACGACGTCGTAGTGTATCACGTGTGTCGACTTGTCGCGGTCCACATCGTAGTTACATTCGATGGTCCAACAACTCTTGCCCGATTTGCACGCCCACTTTGAAGCCGAGGATTTCCACGTAAGCATGTGTGCGTCCGGGTATAGTAGTCCAACACATATGATATACACGGTCGTGGGTTCGTCATCTTCTCAATATGGGTGTCTAGATGGTTCATGACGCTGTTCACCAACTGCGACACGCTGCCAGCCGACGCCGTCGTGCGCGTCCTCGACTGCTTCCTCGTATACGGATGGAAAATTATCTTTCAAGTGGCGTTGGCCTTGCTCCAGTTTCTGCAAGTACGTGCATTTCGTTGATATTATAACATCAACAGATTTGATATTCTAATATCCCCAAACCTGTGCAATATGTATAATGGAGGCTTTCCAAATAATGGTGTACTTGGTCGTGTTTGTCTGTTCTTTTAACAGCAAATTGCACTGGCAAACGCGTTGCCCTTGTAGCACGATATTCTACAAGTCGAGTTTGAAGCGATCGTCGATTTGTTTTACTCGCTCGACGACGCTGCGGTACGTTGACATGTATATATATATATATATATTGGTACGATGCTCCTAATAATGCTCTTTTGATCATGGTGATGGGTTGTAGCTAATATTACATCCCGAGTACTTGATCCACGCCGCGCACGCCATCCCCGTGACGGACGACATGCTCGTGTGCCTCCAAGACGACTACGAGCGAGAGTTTCCGGGCACGTTGGGCCCCCTTCGATGCCCCACGACTGAGGCCAAGTCGACCCCCAAGCAACCGAGCCGCGTCGTCAACGGCCGAGCCAGCCTTCTGCCGTCGCTTGTGACCGCACTTTCGTTCTCGTCCGGGATCGTTGACGCCCCCAATGCCGACGACGAGGCCCTGGATATTGATTGCAACTTGTCGTGACCTGCATAAAATACAATAAAATGAAGAATTCACCTGTGTATGTCGAGATTGTACGGACTGACCGCGGGCCCGTGCTGTACGCACGCTACTAAATTTAGTAGGGCACTTCACTTTGCCATGACAACACTGACGACCGGAGATGACGCGGTGAACCACTAAATAGTGTGCTACAAGTAGATAATCCTTGCAATCTGCCATGATTTCGGTTTCAGCGTAACCGATACACGCCAAATACCTTCGTTCCGACCAAAACGGCATCGCCAACCGCTATATTAGCGAAGCTTCTCATCCGTCATGACCTCTTTTTTCGTATTCCCTTCGGGGTACCACTGGGCTAGGGCTGCTGTACTTGGTGGCTACACTTGCGAGCAGCTTCTACTACATCACCCTGGTTGTTTCCAGCACCTCGAACGACCTGTGGCGGCCCCACTTCAATTCGTCCGGGGTGCACACGTTCATAGGGAATGTCTACCACGCCCGCTTAGCCCTGACGCCGTCGACACCCCTCGATCTGTTTGCTGTGGTCGTCCAGAAAGAATACGCCGGCTCAGCCACGTTCATGGACATCAGCCCGTCGTTTCCGCGGCTATTCTGGTTGGATAACATCCCGTTGCAAGCCGCGGTGACGTCCATGCGGTCAAACAACTTTGGGGCGAACATGCGCATGTTTTCCCAGTACTGTTGGGCAGACTTTAACCAGCGCTACGAGATGGTGCACACGCTCCTATGCCAGGCGCGATGTCTCGTCAACGACGCAGACAACGCCGGCGTGTACTTCGAAGCGCTGCTGCGCAATGTGGGGACAGCGAAGCATCCGCGCACGAGTACATGTCGGACATCACAGCACCGTGTTTGTGCCGATTCTGGGGGTGACTGGGTCCGGTCGACGTCACTGCCGTGGCTGGCCGTGGGGGATGAAGTTGACTTGTGGCAGTCGCATGGTCTGCTTCGGTGGAAAACTCAGCTCCAAAACATCCGAGAGCTGGGGGTCGTCGAGCCGATTTCAATTGTCAACGCGCTCGGGATGTCGACTACCATTGAAATCAACAAGACACCCACGTTGTTCCGGGGCATGAATCTCTGGTCGACTGCGTACGCGAGTGCCTGGAACGACCTACGGTGGGGCTTCCAACACAACTTTAGCCTGATTCTGAACACCCCCACGAACGCAGTGGCAAAGGGAATCGACTGGGATGCTGACCTCGATATTGGCTACGACCAAACCCCCATCCTCAGCACCGTACGGCAGTTCATTGAGCCATTCAATCGATCGACGTTGAGTTGGTGGCGCCCCCATTGCAACTGATTCATTTACTTTTGACAGTTGACACGGCCGTGCTGTCGCGTGTCATGGACAACGCCGAGGATGTCGTGGTGGACCCAGTCCCCCCCTCGTGGACAAACATGGGGGCGTTTTACGGAGGCAACCCCATGTGTGTGTACGGCGTCCAGATATCCTACGTCTAGGAATCGTTCGGGTACTACGACACATGCAGTCAAGACCCCCTGACCATACTCATCGACTTGGCTCGAACTCTGGTGGCCATTATTGCTGCCCACAAAACTGGGAATTCCACGGAGTGGTGTGACTTGTATGCTTCAGACGAAGCCAGAGCCAGCTGTGTCAACATGGCGACGGCCGCAAATACTTTCCTACAGCAAGTACGAGTTTGACTCATCTATCGTGGCAGAAACCTTGGCCACATAACCGTTAAACGTCAGCTTTCTTC